GCCAAAGTCCGTTGTACAGAAAACGTGCCATGTCGATCATATATTAAAATCAGTCACTGTGAAATGTCGTCCGACTAATATGGAATTTCTAAATACTGCAATGATCGACTTTCTAGAATTTCATAAAATACAATAACAAATTAACACATATTTTGATCTAAGAATCAAGTTGAAATATTATGAGAATCAAGAATGGGAGCAGGAATATATTGATATGCCAAAAAAATACCAACTGATAAATATAATAATGCTGCTACTAATGTCTGCCATTACAAATAATAATGAAAATACTTTTTTTTGCATTTTCATTTGATATCAATTATCATAATAATCAAAAAGAAGATGAACTAGAAGAGTATCTTAGAACCTTTAGTAAATTTTCAAACAGATCCATTACAATGGTGGAAGGTAACAAATGAATTAATGTCTAATATATTTATTTTTCAACATTAATTATTATTTACAATATTTACAATAGGTTCATGAAGCCATCTTTTCAAACCTTTCTATGACTATCTTGAAATTCCAAGTTATCTTTTTTTAATATAATTATACATTTAATTTTTTAAAAATAAATAAGTATATTATATTATTTAATAAGGCACAAGTATATCTGTTGAAAGAATCTTTACAGGTGGTGGTGATCTAATTACAAAAAGACATTATCATTTGAAAAAAGAAATATTCAAGTATGCATTTGCATGAAAAATCGGCTTAGAGATAATAATATCACTAAGTGGATTAACTTTTAATTTTTGTTGTTTGTAAAATCTAGTTATTTTACACTTGTATTGTTAAAATTCAAATAAGCAAAATAAACTACATGTATTAATTGATTTTTATTTCTGGCCCTGGTACCAATCTAACCTGTTCATGTTGGGTCCATAGTTAAAAAATTTGGGTTAGAACACTAATTATGGATATACACATAAAACTTGTTATGTATGTGTGATCAAATGCTTTTATCCAAGTATTTAAACAAAAAAATGTATCCTTAAAGAGAAACATGATTTTTAATTAAAAAAAAAATATATCCTTTAAATGGTTAATCAGCTATTGATAGCTGATAAAATTTTTCTGATATATATATAAAATTTTCTCTAAGCATATCACTTCCTAATATGAAAATGATCTCTGAGTCTGTAAAAAAATTCAGGTGTTGTCCTTGTGGTTTTTGTATTATTTTCTTTAAAAGTTGGTCGATTGACTATTTCTTATTATTACATATAACATAAATCATTACAAATTTGAAAAATTTGGAAATTATAAAATAAATGGATTCTCTTCATTCTTTTTCGCCAGCTAAAATTTTATTCACTATATATCTAAAATAAAAATGATAGATTAAAAAAAAAGAAATTCGTGTCCCAAAAAAAAAAAAAATCCATATACAAACAAGCCAAGAAATAATGAAATAATCGAGAACATTAAAACAAGTAAGTGTTATTATTAGTTATTAATTAAAATGGTTGTGATTCTAGTTTCCTTTAAAAAAAAGTTAGAAATTGTTTAAATATTTATGAACTTTTCATTTTTTTTTTTTTTTTATTAGAATCAATGGAAATATTGATGACTTATTAAAGAAATTTGACTTATCATTATCCTCTGAAAAGATGTCAACAATTATTGAATTATTAAAGTGCTGCCAATCAGATGCGCTAGATATATTGGAGACTGTTTTGAATAATGATAGAGGGGATGATAAAGAGAGTAGTGATAAAATGATGGATTGTTGATATTGGAGAGGGTTCAGATCACCTTGGGTCTTGCAGAGTAAGAAAATTCGAGGGAAGAGAAGGGGATAATGAGGATGGATCAAGCACTGGGCTTGAAGGCAAAGGAGCTTTGAAGAAATTTTATATCCTGATTATCAGTCATTAAAGAAGGTGGTAGAATATAGTGATGGTTGTGACCTGGTATTTAGGCCAGGAAACGTTATTAATGGTTTGTGGCCTAATATTTAGGCCAGGTGACATCATAAATAGTAGTAGTCGAAATTCTTCATATAAAGGAATTCGCATATTGAACGGTATTAAACATGATAGATTAGAAATTATTTTATTTTGCAATAAATTTATATGATGTAGATATTTTTTTAATTATCGCTATTTGTTAATATTTTACATATACTGGTGTTGGATATGCAGAATATATCTACAATGTAACAGTGTCATATTCATCAATATTGAAAATGCAATTTTCTTCATAAATTCAAAAAAATTAGCGTTGTTATATAAGTTTTTAAAAAAAAAATTT